TCCTCCTCCTCCTCCTCCTCCTCCTCCTCCTCCTCCTCCTCCTCCTCCTCCTCCTCCTCCTCCTCCTCCTCCTCCTCCTCCTCACAGGTCCCACGGAGCTCCCCCAGGTCCCGCAGGCCCCGCAGGTCCCGCTGGCGCCAGGGGCCTCGCAGGTCTCGCGCAGGTCTCGCAGGCCTCCCAAAATCCCACAAGCCCCGCAAAATCCTACAAAATCTCACAAAATCTCAGAAAGTCCACAAAATCCAACAAAAGCCTCCCAAAATCCCAATGTCACAAAACCCTACAAAATCTCACAAATCCCACAATCTCACAAAAGCCTCTCGCAGGGCCCCCCAAGTCCCGCAAATCCCACGGGTCCCACAAGTTCCGCGGGTCCCACACGTGTCGCAGGCCTCACAGGCCCCTGCCAAAGGCCACAGTGGTCCCCACGGTCGCACAGGTCGAACAAGTTTCTCGCTTCGACAGCGCCTACCACGATCGGGTGTCCGTGCAGGTCGGCTATGACACGCGTCCGCGGAGAGAAACACATCAGCGCAATATGGGGGAACTCGACGCGACGGGAAAATATGCGACGGTGGCATCGATGTCAGATGTGGCGCGAGCGCACCTAGCTTGCCTCTCTCCTCTCTCCTCTCCCTCCTTTCTCCTCTACCCTCCTTCCCCTCATCCTCATCCTCCGCTTCTTCTCCTCCTCTTCTTTGTTGGTATTAGTATGACTATCCGTATTCTTACTAGTATTATTGTTACTATTCGTATCGTGCTCCTCCTCCTCCTCCTCCTCCTCCTAATTGTCAAATAGATAGTGGTGGTGGTGGTGGTGGTGGTGTCGCTTCTTCTCCGCCAGATCCTCCTCGGTCGGCCATGCCGCGGGTAATGAAGGAGGCATGAACAACACAAATCTATGAGCAGGGACTAGGGGAGCTCCATCATCCTACTGTCCCGCCGGTGGGCCATACCGCGAACGCTCCTTTTCTCAGCTGAGCGCACTGCGGGTTCACTGGATGTCGTCGTCCTCGCCCATATCGTCGTCCTGCGGCGCGGTCCCCTGGCCGCCCTCCTGATGCCGACCGAAGCCTCAGACCACGTCGGAAACCATTGTCCAACTCCATCTCCCATCCCTCCTCATCGTTCCCCTCTATCCCTGCTCCCCCCTCCCTCCCTGCTCCCCACCTCTCAACCTGATTTCCCCATCATTCCTGCCTCTTCCCATTTGCGGCGCGCAAAAGGAGTAGGGGAAGGGGGAAAGGCTTCTGAGATGGAGGCTGCCTTTTACAAGGCGCCCGCCTCGCATTTATAGATATGGCCCGCGCCTTCTCAGAAAGCAAGGGTGCCTCTAAGAAGACTTCCAACCTCCCCTACACCCCTTCTGCGCGCGGCTGATCCCCTCTCCGCCCTCCATGCCCTCCGTCTCCCCCTTCCCTCCAACGACGACGAAGGACGACGACGACGACGAAGGCTGACGACGACGACGAGAATCGACAACGCCGACGAAATACGACGACGGACGGAAGACGACGAAGGACGACGCCGACGACGAAGGACGACGATTCCCTCCTTGACCCTCCCTGCCCTCCCCTTCCGCCGTCGGCCCACCAGCAGACTTGCTCATGTTGGTCCACGACGTGCACGCGCAGACTGGGACGCGAGAGCGGCCAGCAGCTGCACCTGAAGCCCGCTGCGCGTGCTGAACCTCCTTTTCTGTCCTTCCCACTCATGAGCTCGTTGTGGTATCCGTGTGCCCTGCTTGCATCGATGCGTCGGTTGTGCCAGTGGCTCTGCGCAGCCTCTTCAGCCGTTCGGAGGTTCTTCTTGACGTGCTAAACTCGTTGTTGTCGTCGGTCCAGTTTTCCTTGATATCGTGGGCAATTCGCTGGTTGCCCCCTTTGAGGTTCCTGAGTCAGGTGCTGACGGATTCTTCTTCTGTAGTTTCCGCAGCTCTTGTTTGTCCCTTTGGCGCTGGGGATCGGCATCTTTTTTTGTAGGAGGTCTTGCTGTGGCTGGTCAACCTTTTTCGTCAACAGCCTCGTTGTCGCTGTAGCGGAAATTCCTGGCGTTCCTGATGTCCCGCCAGAGCTCGTCCAAGTAGACTTGTATGTGATGTAGATGGGTCTCGGCGTGCTTGTAGTAATAATCATCCAAGGGCTGTTTCATACCGTCGATCTCCCTAGCCTGCCGGGTCGGGGTCATGCCGTTGAGGGGCATTGCGAAGGTGGAGGCGATCTGTACCACTGCATCTGTAGTAGGTAGTCCTGCTGTTCTGTTTGTGGCGATGGCTGTTGCGGATCGCTTCAGCTGGATAAGGTTGATGTTCTCCCAGTCGACCCCCAGCTTGGGGTCGTAGATGATAGCTCCCAGTCGTGCTTCGTAGTACAGTCGCGTAGATATTCCTCGTGGGCATGATGTTGCCGATGGTGCAGGTGATGCGATCGTCGTTGTAGTTTTGGGTGTCCTCCCTGTTCTTGCTCTGCTGCTCACCACCAGGTTGATGGATTGTCTTGCCTTTGCCCTTATTGGTCCTCTCTTTGCCTTTGTTGGGTCAGCTTGTCGGGCTCGTGGTCGTGCTTTAAGGTTTTCCCCTTGCCGCCGTAGTTGTTGCCTCCCAATTATGGTTATGGTTTCAATTCTTGTCTGGGTGGTCCCTGGCCTACTGGTCCGTCCACCTGTAATTCCTCAAACGTGCGACGCCCGATCCAATAGCCGGCGTGGTGGATACTGGTGTCGTTGGTCTGCTTCGTGGACGGCCCGATGCTGACCTCCATGGTGGCGGCGCAGTTCCCGACCCGCTCGCAATTCCACTCCATGACGTCGCCATGGTCGGAACTTGAGGTGGGTCTCGAGGTGGCTGCGGGGAGTTGTGATGCGCTTGTAGTAGCGCTTGTACAACGTGAAGTTTATGATGCGTACGGTGATCAAAATGTGATCGTGTCGATGTCACTCGTAGTGGCACGCGTGCAGCGGCTCGACATTGCCGCTCCCGCCGATGCCACGCTGAATTGAACGACGTAGTCGTTGTGGGGGCTGTTGTGAACATCGCCTGCGGGGACGTGTGGCCAAGAAGTGCACGAAACAGAACGTAAGAAGTATACGGTGGGGTTAGATGGGATGAAGGGGCCCCAGGACACACAAATAAATACACACAACTAAACATACCCCCCATATTTTCCCATAGTTGTTGTTTTTTTGTCTTCCCCCCCACTTCCCATAGTTTCCCATATTTTCGAAGGAATCGACGATTGATTGTGTGTGTGTGTTTTTTCCCCTCCTGATGGAATGTTAAATGGGAAGTGGGATTTTCTCGTGGCCGATCGGCCGACACACTACCACCGACACGCTTCAATCCCTCGGCGGTTCGCAGCTCCCTCCTCCTCCTCCTCCTCATCTTCCTCCCTCCTCCTGCTTCTCCATGGTGACCCAAAGAGCACCCAATAGCGTTCCAAGAGCGCCCCAAAAACACCCCAAGAGGCGCTGTGCTGGGCTCCCGGAGTGGAAGGCGAATGGAAGCTTCAATCTTGTTCTTGATCGATGTCCTCCAAGATGGCCCCAAGAGCGCCCTTCAAGCTCTTACGAGCGCCCCAAGGGGGCTCCAAGAGGCGCAAAAACGGCCCTAAGAGGCGCCTGGAAAGCCTAAAAAACCCCCAAGAAGCCTCAGGAGGATCCCCGAGGCACCCAACACGCTCAAAAACGGCCATGGGCCCGCCAATATACACCCGAGGTGAGAAAACAAATAGAACGAAACAAGAGTCGCGGACTCATTTCCACTGCGCGCACCTCTGACCCAATCCGGCTGCGGACGAAACACAACTGTGATGTGAAACGACTGTGGCCAACTGAGGCCTCTCCAGACTTCCAGACAACACTCCGGAAAAAAATCTATAACATCAAGAAAGCTGAAATCACAGCCCCCAAGAAAGTCTTTGGCCACAGCGTGATACGATGCAAACATCTGCCGGCTGCAAACGTTATTATTCAAAATCGTTATGAAATGAAAACACATGGAGGTCACATCTGCCAACTGCAAATGTTATTATACAAAATCGCTATGAAGTGAAAAACACATGGAGGTCACCTCGAAACATGTGACGGTGTGACAGCGCATCCTACAGGCTGCCTGTCGAGCTGCTCACGTTTGTGCGGTCGCGGCACAAATCCTCTCCTGGCCTTCTCTGCAACTCTTTTCTGCAATTCACCTTGTTCGTCGAAAATTCTGAAACGACCAGATCGCATCAACTTGGTGAGAACTGCAGTGTTGGGCGACCTCTTGGTAAACGCATCCGCCGGCATACAGTGATGCTGAACCCACCTTGCACGGCATCCAATGGCACGCATAGACTGTCGGCATACACACAATTCAAGAGCTACTCGTCTACCGCTGCCTCCAATCGTCTCCTTCACGAGGTTGTCGAACAACGATTTCGCATCTACCACACTCACGATACTGGGATCCACTGAGATGGTACTGTCGCCCTTGAGAACCGCAACCGTGGGGTCCTCGCGCTCTGGAATCGATGTCCTTCTCCTCGAACTCGTGTCGAAATCGCTCCACGTAGTCTCCTGCCATATAGACCAGATCCATTCCGCCTCCGCCAGCGCGTCGCTGAAACTGAAACCCCCCGCCGCCATAGTGCTGCCCGCGACGTGCTTGATCTCGTGGCTGACCCAGCTCACGATGCTTAACGGTGCCCCCTCGTTGTCGCTCAGCGCCTTCGTCGCAATGCCCACGAGAAATCCGCCTTGAGAAGCGCCCGTCTCCTTGTCAGTGTCGAAGCTGCCGTCGCTAACGCTCGCAACTCTGGCCTCGGTAGGCTTGATAGGAACGATTCGAAGCCCAATAACTGGATCTGCTTTGAGTCGTCGTACTGCGGAATTGGCGTCGGAGATGTCCTTCATCGCAGCGTTGCAGAACTCTGAAGTAGTGAAGCTGTGGACGCCTCGTCTGGCCTCGCCTGCCTTGCAACCCATCCAAGACCACCAATAACTGCGCGAAGTTGACCTTTTTCACCTTATGTAGGTTGGCCCTTGGAATCTGACAATCTACCACGCTTGAGCTCGATCGGATTCAACTTCTCCTCGATATACCGCTCCATCTCAATGCGGAAGCCGAAATCCTTCTCCCGTGAAAACCGTCGGCCAGCAAAATAATGTGGACCAGCACGATATAGATGATGCCAGTGACCGAATTTGATCATGGACTTGAGCTGGTTCATCTTGTCAATGTGCTTCTCGTTGCCTCCAGACAGCGTGTCATCAACTTCAAGAACCACAATGCCCTGCACGATGTAGTCGTCATCCTTGCCATGCTGCTCGTTATTGAAGAGGCAGAACAAGCAGGGATCGTAGATGCTCATGCGGTAGTCGAGCTTGCTGAGACGATCAACCATTGTACTCCTCCGTGCTGCCATTCCGCTGACAAGTCCGTAAACTTCACGATCTAAACGAATGAGGCTACCTGGTGGTACTCCAAGTGCTTCAAGGTATCCTCCTGGTGGCGGCTCGGCGTACAGCGGCTTAGTCCTCTTGCTCGGATCGCCCTGCATGAACGCGGTCGCAACGTCGCCCACGTTAGCCTCGAACTCCCTCGCAGCGAGCGCCTGCATCGCGATGTGAAGAGTAACCAACTGTGGTGTAGGGCAACTCCGCTCGATCTCCATGATGTCCGGGTCCTTGAGCCCATGCGCAACCCATCTCGCCTTTGCAGCCACGCCCTGCTCAGTAGGCTTCCAGCGTAGTAGGATCCGACTGGTGATGATCCGCTCGCGCTTGCTCTTGCGAATCTCCTCCGCGTCGCCTGGCATGATGACGGTTGCTGCCTTGATCCCAACAGCGGAGTTCCACTCCTTCGCAATCGCCGCGATGAACTGCGGCCAGTCGTCGTCGCTGATGGTGTTGTGCTTGATCTCTGCCGCCTCGGACTTGGCCTTCATGATATAGAAGTTCCCGCGGTAGCTGAGGCACGCCCAAGAATCCTCGATGCTGAACGCAACGTGCTTGTCATTGTCGAAGCCTGTGACTGGTCGCCACGGCCCACTCTCGAGCCTTCTGTAGTTCCACACCTCATCCATAGCAATGAAATCGCTCTTTTCGGCGTCATTGAAGTTCGTGTAGGTGCCCGTCGTGAAGTCACAAACCTCTACGAACCGCTCGTTGTCGCCGGGCTGCTGCCAAAACGCGCTTGGTGTAGTGAACCCAGACGGAGCTGGCCATGGAGCTACTGTACCTGCCGCAGTACGTCCTGAACTCGACGCTGATGATGATGCCAATCTCTGGCGGTCCAGCTCCATGTCGTCGAACCTTGGCTTGCTTCTTGGCGGCGCCCCAAAAGCCTCCTCCTCTGCCTTCGCAACGATGCCTCGACGTGAACCTTGATCAGATGAGGGAGCCCGAGGTTCACTCTCGGGCTGCTGGCTGCTCTGCCTGGAAACTTCCTCATCGCCTCCTTCTGCGCCTTCATGTGGTGGAGCTTGTTGCGGTGGCTCTGCGTCAACAACCTCGTCCTCCTGCGGCGGCTCTCCATCTCCGCTGATGTCCCTGAACCCCCGCTGCTGGTGAACCTGGTTGAGCCTCTCTTTGAGACTGTGGAGCATCTCGTTGACGATCTCGGCACCCATGCTCTCCTCGTTAGTAGATGCCCGAACCTGGATCCTGGCACACTTGAGGACACCACGCATGTAGGCGAATACCGTAGATCCATTCTGAGTGGTAGAGACAACCGTAGCCGGTCCGCTCCATACCACTTTGTAATCGATGCTCCCGTCGGACTGTCGAACTGTAACTCGCCTCCAGATAAACACCACCTCACCATCCTTCAACGGCTCCTGCTCCTTACGCATACGGCTCCTGGGTGATTTCTGCATGGTCTGCTGGTCACTGAGGCTGACGGCTGAATGCATAGCTGCTTGCCTCATAGCCTGGGCCCTCTGGTACTCCATGGAAGGTGTAGTGTAGAACATCTCGGGGCTAATAACGTCGTCGCTAAGCAAACAACCTGGTAGTCGTAGGTCTCCGCCAAGTACTCGTTGAGCTGAACTGAATCCACTTCGCTTGGTGAACCTGTTCTTGGCCTGTGTCACAAAATTGGCAAGCATGTCGATCTCGCCGATGTTGTTGCACGGCTCGATGGTCTCGGACTTCTGGAAGATACTCCCCCACCAACCTCCGTGTCTCTCAGTCTTGCCATTCTCCCACGGTGACCTCAGATTGATGATGTGAACGAGGGTGGCATATTCTCGAGCCCGGTCCTGGAACTCTGCCTTGAACTCCGTACCCTGGTCCGCGACAAGAATGTGAGGCGGCCCGTAATGGCGATGCCAAGAACGCTGAACTGCCTCCCAGGTGGCCTGTGCTGAGACGCTCCCGGAGATGCGCTCCACGATCTGGTAAATCGCCCCCCAGCAGATGGTACGCACGAAACTGAACTCCAAACCCATGACTGTTTTGACCGTAAACGTATCGCACCCAACGACATAGTTAAACCGAAACGATCGCAATACCGCTCCTGATTGCCGAGCTTTTGAACGCTTATTCGATTCACAAGCTGGACAAACGAAATGCCGCCGGACCCAACGCAATACCGAATTACGAACCCGACCGTGACGGAGAACCCGGGTGAAATCTCGAAGCTCTGGATGTCCCATATTGTTGTGGGCACGTAATATAAAACGTTGGTGTAACGGCGTCGGTATCTCCGTGGTTTCGGTATCTGGTTCATCTTCATCTCCGTCAGGTTCTAGGCTCGGATCTCCAAAATCAGGTCCAAGGCTTTCGCCCTCCGCCGTCTCCTCGTTGATCGTATCGAGCGCTGGGTACACCCCGATCTGAATCTGGTCCTCCGCAATCGCCTGAAAGAAATCGTCGATGATGTGCGGAATGTACTCCTCGGCGGTGTACTCCACAACGTTCGAGTACTGGTAGAAGCACGGCTGAATGTCCACAAAAATCTTCTCGTCCTCGGTGTGCTTGATGATGCCGGCGCCCTTGAGATGCTTGACAAGACCTCTAAGGATGGCGCGGCAGAACTGTGGAGTGTACTCATGAGCGAGCCTGGTGCACTTGCTGCCGACAAGCTGGTCGTGGTCCGAGCTGCGGTGTGTGCATCGCCTGCAAACTGCCTTGAGAACCTCCGTGCTGTTGCTGAGGATGCCCGTCGGCTTCCGGTTGAGCTTGCCGCCGTCGGCGTGAAGGTTGAACTCGCACATGTCTGCATTGACCCATCCAATGCCGTCGGTGTCGGCAAGCGCTTGGATACACGGAACATCCCAAGACCGGGCGTAGGCTGGTTGCTCGAAGAGGAATAGTCCGCCTCGTTCGTGTTGTTCACGGGCTAGCGCGGCACTGAGCTCAAGATGTTGGAGTCCTTCATGCTCTTCGCTGCTCGCAATGTCCTGGTCGCGCTTGTAGTTTGACAAGTCACGGATGCGGCTCCAGACCTTGCACGGCGGGCTGAGGATGAGAAGAAGTTTTTTTTTTTTTCTCGATGGTGTCCCTCGCCCGGTTGCGATCCGCCTCCTTCGTGAAGTCGATGCCATTGGCGAGGTCAAGCGCGCTCCCAGGTTGAAGACCGTGATGTCGACAATACTGGGTGACTCTCGGCCGGCTGTAGACCTCGGTGACGTCGGCACCCTTCTTGGAGAGCTTCGCTAGGCTACGACGGAGTTCTCGTCGAAGGCCTTTTGAGACAACACCCTGTCCCTCGTCATCGAACAGTACGCTGGTGATCGCGCCAGTATTGATCTTGAAGATGTCGACGCGGTCCGTAGTGTCGGACTCGCGCTTCTCTGTGATGTAATCGAACTGGTCCGAATTCCTGTTCATGTAGCCGACGCCGAAGTGGTCGCCGAAGAGGTCGCCGTTCGCGAAGCCGTCCGAGTTGGCCGACGTCACGGTGATCACGATATCCGTCTTGTTGCCGTCGTCAAGGCGCCCGAAGTAGACGAGACCCCCGATCGCATCTCCTCGTCGCTCGACGAGATGGTATACACCTGAGGATTTACCTCCACAAACTCCTGCACGTACTCCTTCGTCTCCTCGCAGCCTCGTATCGTGCAGAGATAGCAGTACTTCTTCTCGTAACGATCCCAGACCTTCTCCATCGGGGCTGCATGAACTGGGCATGATGGCACTGTAGGCTTCTGCGCCACTGCCGCTGTCACCGGCTCGGCGTTCTTTTCCGATTTGACCTTCCCCCCGCCCGGCGCCTCGCCGTAGTGCGGGATCCTCTCCCAGCGCGCTCCGCACTTCAGGCAGACCTCGTAGTAGCCCTTGCTGTTGCCCTCCGGGAGAGACATCTCCTCTGGGCGGTCGCACTCCTCTGGACTGCAGGCCTTCTTGATGCTCTTGTGCTTGGAATCCACGAGGCGCTTGCCTTTGGCGAAGTACGTTGGCACCCCCTCTTGTCCGTGGAAGAGCCAGCTCCTCTCTGACGCGCAGCGAAATCTCTGGCCAGCTCCTGGATGCCAGCTATGGACAAGAGAGCCGAGCACAAGGACTGGGAGAAAGCAGCTTCGGTGACCATGGTGACTTTTCGCAAATCCGATGCCAAACTGCCATGGCTCGCCTCTCTCTGCCTCTGGTCTTCCCGCGGTCGACTACTGGATCCTGGCATTGACCCAGCGCCTGGCCCACGAGAGTCGGCACCAGACGTCGTTATGGATATGGAAAACCTCCGCTGAGCTCGGAGGTGGAAGCTGCGCAGATGAAAGATTGCCCTCGGCCTCTGCCGAGGAACCATACGTTGAACACAAATGGCTCTGGCAGGTCTCATTCTCGGGGCTCTCAGGTTTCACTTTGGGGTCGTCTTTGTTGTCTTCCTCGGGGATGCTTTCGAGCAAACTCCTCTCTTTTGGGCTCCTAGTCGCTGTACTCGGGGCCTCTGGAATTGTTGTAGGAGTCCTCCTTGGCGCTATTGAGGTCCCTGGAGCCTTACTCTGGGTTGCTGTTGGTGCCATCGGGGTCTCCGAAGTCTTACTCTGAGATGTTGTTGATGCCATCGGGGTCTCTGAAGTCTTACTCTGTGGTGCTGTAGGTGCTCTGAAGGTCTCCGAAGTTATACTCTGAGATGCCGCTGATGAGGTGGTCAATGGCGGCAACGTCGATGATGCTGAAGCGGCGAACGGTGGCGGTGGCGGCGGACACCCCACAACGGACTGCACGGGCTTGTCTTCTTCTTCTGAACCAGGCTCGCACCATCCTCCGGGCGCAAACTCAATAATACTAATGACCGCGTGGCCATTCTGTCCGATGATGCGCAGCTTTGTGCCAGCGCCGAACTTGTGGAAAAAACGCCTGGTCGCCAGATCCGCGCAGCTTGAGGTCCATTTCCATTGCCCTGGTGAGACCAGCAGGTAGCAGAGCAGGCACCTCCTCATCAAGAACACGGAATGATACAATACCGTTCACGCCTGCAATGCCAACTGGGACCTCCGCGCGGCCAACGACCTTCGCGTCGCCTCCGATGCCGCGAGGTGCAGGTCCTTCGTCTGGAACCCACCGAGGTTGCAAGCCAAACTCCTTCAGCTTGATCGCCAGACCCTTCAGCTGCTCGGTGCCGATAATACCCTCCGGAGCGCCTGTGTCCACGAGAACCTCCCACGCATTGATGGCCAGCCCGATGAACATGGATATCATCCCGATGAAGAACCTCGCGGCGCTCCCTGCAGGTGAAGTGTAGGACGTCAGCGGGTCGATGTTGAACTGCTGGTTGGCTCCGCCTGCCGCGTTGTGCATCGTGAAAGCTCCAAGGGCAGGTCGCTGCTGTTGATTATGAGGGCACTCTCGCGCCCAATGACCAACTTGCTTGCACTTTGCGCACTTCGTCCTGAGCTTCAGCTGGTCGGTTGATATCCGCCGCCTCTGTGGTGACTTGCCCTTGCCCTTGCTCTTTCCCTTGTCGCCCCTGCTGGTATTGCCGTTGCCCTTCGGCTTGAAGAAACCGCTGGCCTTCCGAGCCTCGTTCAGCTGGTTGCGAACTTGCTTGTGCTCTGCGGGGCAGCTCATTGCCGGGCGCATGTCCAGAAGTACCCACGGCAGGTCCTCCTCCTCGATGACGCCGTCGAGCCACTCCGAATTCAGGTAGTAGACGCCCTCGATCGGCTCTGATCCTGGAATCTGCAGCGTGCCCTCGCCGTCGTCACAACTTTCGTCCTCGTAGTCGATGATGTCAATCGCGAACGTGCCCAGCTCGTCGCTGGAGTCCGAGATGGCCATGTCGGTCGGCGGCGGCGGGGACGGGCTGTCGTAGCTGTCGTTGTCTCCGTAAAAGGTGAGCGCCGCCAAGCCTGTAGTCGGTCGTGGTAGTCCTGCTCGGCGGTCTGGCCGATCGAGGCGGATGAGCGCCTTCGCGATCTTCTCGAAGTCGTATGTGCCGTCCGTCCAGCTGATCACCTTGTCGTAGCTCCGCTCGCCCAGCCTTGCGAAACGTAGCGTCGTGCAGCCCTTCAGCGTGTCCGGCAAGACGACCGTCAATCTCTCGAGCGCGATGAACTCGAGCCTCCGTCGATTCACAAACGTGGTGAACCTCTCCTTCTTGGGGTCACGTACGCGCGTGTAGAGAGCCTTCTCGAATTCCTCGGGGACCTCTTCCTCCTTGAGATACTGAAGCGCAGTGTCCAGGGCCCGTGGGATCAGCTCGACCGCGTTCTCGCCCGTGAGGGCTTCGTCGACGATCTCCTCGCGCGCTAGCCGAGCCTGACCTCGAAGGTTCCTGAGAACCACTCCACCGATCTTCTTCTCCTCTATCATGGCGTTGGCCTGCCATATCTGCAGGTCTCTCCTGAAGTGGCGGTACATGTAGTCGTCCGTCGGCTCCATGAAGATCGGTGGCGAGCCCCGATCCATTCGTGATCGAGCTCTAGTGGGCTCTCCATTTTCGTCATCTGCTGGCTTTCCTCGAGCTCCTGGCGGCATCGCGGCGGTGCCTGAAACTGATAGCGGGTGCGCAGCTACCGTGGGGAGAACCACGGCTCCGCTGCCAACTGAAAAACAAATAGAACGAAACAAGAGTCGCGGACTCTTTTCCAGTGCGCGCACATCTGACCCAAGCCGGCTGCGGACGAAACACAACTGTGATGTGAAACGACTGTGGCCAACTGAGGCCTCTCCAGACTTCCAGACAGCACTCTGGAAAGAAATCTATAACATCAAGAAAGCTGAAATCACAGAGGCGATCCAAGAGGCCTCTGGAAAGCTTCCAAGACACATCCGATGAAACTCCGAGAGGCATTTAAGAAGCTTCTGGCTTTTCTGTTCGCCGTCCTCTTCGTATTGTTCCTCTCCTCTCTCCTCCCCCTCCCTCTCCTCCTCCTGATCCTCCTCGTGCGCCTGCCGCAGCCCCAGCGCCCGTCCACCTTTGGAACGGGTGTCCAGTAGGGCAAGCGCGTGATCCACGCTAGACCACGTCCTCGCGCCCCCCTCGTGGCCGAGCCCATCAGCCATGGAACAATGTTATACAACCAATCCGTCGCCGTCCCCAACGAAGGGAGGCCAGGCCCTGAGACCACAGGCGGCCCAACGCAGCAAAACCGAAGGGAGGCTGACGCGCGAAAGCGTAAGAGCGACCGAAGCGAGGCAAAGCAAAGCAAACTCTGAGTCCTGGAACTAAGGCCGGAGCGTGCAGAGACAGAAAATTCACAAAATCGCCCCTGACAGAACCCCCCCTTAGGGATACGCAGAGGGGGTTTTACTGAAGCAGCGCACTTTGAAGGCTTCGGACCAAAGACCGAGCCCTCCTCCTCCTCCTCCTCCTCCTCCTCCTCCTCCTGTTCCTCCTCCTTTTCCTCCTCCTCCTCCCCCTCCTCCTCATCCTTTTTCATCCTCCCCCTTCTCCTTTTTCTCGTCGTCATCATCGCCCTACCCCATGTCCTCCCCCTCCTCCTAATTATCCTCCTCCTCCTCCTCTTCCTCCTCCTCCTCCGTCTCGTCCAACGACAACGATTTCTCCTCGATCCTCCTTATATTGGGACATATTACGGCTTCCCCCGCCTTTTGTTATTTGTCCCCCCGCTTCCCTCATCACTTGACTCCCCTGGGCATCGTTTCTGGATTTTTTGGTACGCGGGCGCGCGAAGCGAGTCGAACGCCGCGCAAGCAGGGGCAGGCCGTGCTACAAACAAAGGATAACATACAACAGCAGAACGGGGAGCAGCGCCAAGCACACAGCGGGGCGGAACGCAGGGCAGCCCAAATGGCCCGGGCGGCATCACGAAACAGCACCAGGAACACGTCCATGTAGGGTAGGTGTCGAACAGGATGCAGGTCAGTGGAAGGCGACCCCACTTGCGACCGCGGAGAGAACGCCACACTTACCCAGGACGGCGGTGACATACAGGGCGAGAAAGGCCGTCGTTCAATCCCCGTGGTATGCATGTCGAACTCGACGTCCATGAACCCTTCGGCCAAACACACATAGGAGCAGCGTGAACGACACCGAGGGAACGGCGTGGGCAACGCGGGAGATCGCGCCAAGCGGACGCCGAGGAGGCAAATGGCCCCCAGCGAAGGAGGGCGCCGGCGGCAGCAGGGCCCGCGGTGCGGGCAGCAGCGGCGCGCCGATGCCGCCGCCGCCGCGCCGCCGCGGTCTTTACGGAAGCGGCGGCCGCGGCCGCGGGCTCCCAGCCAGCCCGGCGCCGCCGCGGGCAGACATGCCGAGGCGGCGGCGGCGGCCGCGGCGCCCAGGCAGCGTCGGCCAACCTCGAGCCCTAACCCCGGGGGGGAAAGGCCCCCTCCAGGAGATGCCTTGAGTCAACAGGCTAAAGAAGCATCGCTTCTGCACTTTTTGGTCGGCGGCTCCAAGGCGACGGTCAAGGAGCGGAAGCGGCGTCCGGGATGCGGCACGGTGCGAATTTGCGAACACAGCCGCCAGTGTCGGCAAGCACGTTCGCACCTGCAAAACAAGCTCGCAGCTGCACATGCATTGAACAAAATGAACTAAATTCACCAGCAAACGCACATAGGCGCAGCAGCGTGAACCGAACTAAACGAGCTGCAAGCAGAGTGTGCGAAGATAGCGGAGTAAATCGCCGGTTGGGCGCCAAACTCCAGGCCACCTGCTCACGCCGACCGGCTGTACGGTATAACCGGGCAGAGCGCGGAGGAAGACACAAGGCTGCGCGAGCGCGGAAAGCTGAACCGCTCAGCGCTGTATCCACTCAGAAGGCAGCCTCAATCAGAAGGCAGCCTCGCTTCTGCACTTTTTGGTCGCGGCTCCAAGGAAATGCCCAGGGAGCGGTCACAACGTCCGGGGCGCGGTACATTGCGGGAGAACCAAGTCCCCAGAAGTGCGGGGGGAGGAAACGTCAGGGGGGGACTGGCTCAGGAGGGGAAGCATCGACCTGGAATCGGCGATACATCGCGGCGATTGGCCACGGATCGGAAATCCGCACGTTCTTGGGCGGGGTGGGCTATCGGGCCCCTGTCGG